AGATGTGTATAAGAGACAAGGTTTATATGGTTCTAAAGTCAGTTCTGGTTTTTCGTCTGTCCGCTGGCTCCTCCGGCTCGCTAGAGTCGAGGGCAGCAGCTCTGCCGGTTCGGCGGTTTGAGTGGTCGCGATAGGTTCCATGGTGGAGAGCTGGGTCGTTGTAGGAGAGATAGTTACAGGAGGCGCATCATTGGAAGAGTTCATTTCAGTTTTCATAAAGTTTGTTTTCGTCCGATACGCTGAGCAGGCACCCAATGGCCTCCAACAAGGGGATCCCTACTGTCGGGCACACGCAGTCCCGGCGGGACCACTCTTACGCTCGGATATAGCCCCGGTTATCCAGGGCCCAGCGGGTTATGCGCTTGACTAGCGTTGCAAGACGGGGCGCCACTCCATCCGCGCGGCGTTTAAACAGCCCCCCGCCTGCCCAGGAGTCCCTCAGCTAACCCTCGCCGTTAGTGACTATTAAAGCTGGCGGGTCGGGTCTAAGTCCCCGCCAGGGTTCGCCAATCCAAAGAAGGGTCATCGCGTGTCCATTTGAGAGCCAGGCCGTTTCCGAAAAGGGCGTTTTGCCATCTCTGTTAGTCTGGACTCTCCACCCGAGCCACCCGGCCATGATTGCATCTGAGGCCGTACAGCCTCGGGTCTCATCGAGACACGCAAGCCCCCCCCCACGACAAGGACGAGATGGCACGGGGGGGCAATGACATTAAAAGTCTTGTATTTTCACCTGATTATAGCGCGCGATATCCTTGTGCAGCGTGCTGAGCATGGCGACCACGGCAGAGAGGTAAAGCAAGACTTTTTGTAGTGATCTTTTAACAGTAACGCTAAATACCGTAGCAGCACGTCTGGTCTTACTGCAAGCATAAGTGTTGTATTTTTCACCTGGTTATAGCGCGCAATATCCTTATGCAGCGTCCTGAGCATGATCATGGCGACCATAGCAGAGAGGAAGAGCACGATGATGAGGGAGTTAAGGATGCTGAACCACTGGATGTTCGTGTGGGGCATAGAGTCCAGGATGTAGTCCCAGCGTGACGACCACCTGATGCCGTTGTTCTCCTGCCAAGTGGGCGAATTGTTACTTGGGACATCTGTAATCTATCAGTACTTTTCAGGGGCTTTCGGACAATATCAATGGATCAACATCTTATTTCTTATTGCTTTAGGCATTTCTATAAATTTGTTAAAAAGTTGTGAAATTGTAAATGAAATTAAGAATCGACCATGCAATGTTGGTCTTATAACCAACATTGCAAAAATATCAGGCTCTTCTGGAATTGGGCTTGTACTATCAAAAAAGTTACAACTTCATTAATTCGAAAACCATAACATTGATTGATTTTCAAGCTAAAACCCACCATCACAGACAAGAAATTGTATACTTAGCATGCTATGATTACGTTTACTTAGGCCGCTACAATTAGATTTTGTAATGCCCAGGTATAGAAGTGAACACCAGGCACCCAAGAGGTGCATAGCGTAGTATTTACTAACAGTGAAGGTGACGGTGTACGAGTAGGTGATATCGAGGCCTCCTTTAGGCAGCGTAGCAGGGATGCCCATAGGAGCTGCACCAGCAGAGCAGTCCATCTTCTTGCGATCAGCTTGTTTGATAGAGCGAGGCGTCGCGCGCACGGCTGCAATATATATCTTATTTGAAGAACTATTGTAAATAGATATATTTTATGAAGAACTATGTTTAATTGAATATTTTATACAAATAATCATTCTAACATTGATTTGAAACCAACCAATGTAAACTCATAATCCCCAATGCCATTACGATAATTATGATGAAGCATTATAATTAATAAGGATTTTTTCAAACCAACATTTTATATGGTAGATAAAACTCCCCTTTACTCATGTTTCAAAATATGAGCCTTTTCAATCTTTTAGATTAAATTTGTATTTACCAATAACAAAATTCAAGTTAATTTGACAGGTGCCAGGCTACAAACAAACCCACACACAGACTCTGACAAACTTATGCTAAATTATTTTGCAACTTTTCTTACAACTAAAAAATGCCTGCAAATATAGAACAAAGGTATTCACAACATATTTTAAAGGTATTTGATAATAAATTATGGTTCGCCCCAAAAAAACGTGTGTCGGGCAGATTTATGATTAAAGCGAAAAGCACACAACACTTAGCAGGTAGGAATGCCTAGTATGTCTCAAAAGTTGCTTATTACTTGAGGTTACCTGCCTACATCCACAAACCTGGCCAAAATTTTTTTTGGAATCAGACAGAGCTTATTTCCCAAATAGGGTTAACTATTTTGTGACCCTTCTTTACATAGGTTTTTTTAAAAATTAACCAAAAATTCATTATTTGCAGAACAGGGTTGAAACAAACACTGAAATGACAGGCAATGATTGCTCTAACATATTCTTTCATCAAATTAAATTCAGTGCAGTTAGAATGCACGTCATGGGCCGGTCCTTTCTTACCCCATGAAAGCTGCGATCCTGTCTTACCCCATTTGACTATATACTTTGTACCATCAAACAGGGTAAATTGGGACAGTCATCCTACATTTTGTAGAAACCTACGGTACATCCTACATTTTGTAGTAGCTAAACCAACCAAAATATTGAAAACTAAAAATAGTGGCATAAAGTTCAACATTTTCATTAACTATGTAGCATAAAGCAAGTTAAGAAATCATACATTTACTACCTCAAAAAAAAAAAAAAAAAAAAAAATCATTGAATAAAGCAGCAGACCTTGGCAGTACTTCTGCTAAGGTCTGTAGCAAAAAAAATATTTGCCATATTAAAAAATTTTACTTACATAAAAGTTGCACACAGGTGTTGGCTTAAAAACTTGATTGACGGAATTTACGTATCTCATTAAAAATAAATAGTAATGGCCATTTCCACAAGACAGGGTAATAAGGGACACTCCTAAAATCACATTTACAGTAGAACCTTGATTTGCAGAGGCTCCAGTTAACAAAAAATCAATTAACAAGCAAAAATGTTTAATACATTTACTTTGCTCAGCAAAATAATTTCACTTTACAAAAAATTAATGCATCATAAGTCATCACAAAATGGTGCATAGAATATTCTAGATAGAATTGTGCACCAGGCAACATAGATTAAAAAATAATTAACCTAAACTATGATTTATTTCTCCAAAAAATATGATGGTTGTCACTAAAATATTCCTTCCTGTTCAAGGGTTTTTTTACAATTTTTTTTGTTATAGGTAGTGAATTCAATTGACCCAATTACTGTAAAATGGTGTGATACCAAGCAGTCCTGTAAGCTTGCAGTGCACAAGGTCGCTGTCAATGCTTAATGGCATGTTCATGAGTACGGAAATATCACATAATAATACGGTAATGTATGGATATGGTAATAATATATCAATAAAAAAAAACAAGTAAAACTCACAGAAAATGTCATTTATTCTATATCTACATCATCTACAAAGGAAGCGGAGGACTTCAGAGTACTGTTAGTAATGGACGAGTACACTTAGCATTCCTCAAACATTTTATAATCAAGTTTTATTTTAAGTGTTCCTATTTGTACAAGGTGCATATAATTAATCTGTGGGAATAGTGAGTAAAGAATTCCATTTTCATTGCTATTTTCACTACCGCTCAAAGTATTGTAATTCAGTTAAGTCAACTGTAGGATCAAATGCCGGTGCTCTCCTCTGATGTTTAATCATAAGTCAAGTCTTTGTTTGACAAAGTAATAATTTAAATTAGCATTAGTTGTCATGCATTAATGTTGTTAACTATCATTTTTATCAATAAAAAAAAATTTGTACGAGTATCAATTATATAAATACCGTCAAGCAGGGCAAAAAGGGACGGTTTTGAGGGTCTTTTGTTAATAACTTCGTACCATGAAACATTTCAGAAACAAGTCTAGGCTCATTTTATAGCTCTTTGCGAGGGCTATCCAATGGCATCTTCAAAAAAATTCCATATGCTATTCGTAAGGTGCCAGATGCAAAATAAAACCGTCCCAATTTACCCCTGGGAACAGGGTAATCCGGGACACTTGCAATAAAAGTTAATTTTAAAACATTTGAAGCATGCAGAGTGTACTCATCTATTACTAACAGTACTCTGAAGTCCTCCTCTTTCATTGTAAATGATGTAGATGTAAAATAAATGACATTTTCTGTGATTTTTACATGTTTTTCCTTTATTGATATGATATTACCATATTCATTAATTACCATATTATCAATGTGATATTACTGTATCCATGGACATGCCATTGAGCATTGACAACGACCTTGTCCACTGCAAGCTTCATATCAGCAGCCATGTACCATTTCTTCTGTATCTGTAAGCTTACAGGATGGTTTGTAATTTTGCACAATTTTAATTGAGTCAAGTGATTTCACTATAACAAAAAAGATTGTAAAAAACATACCTGAAACAGAAAATGTTTTAGTGACAACCATCATATGTTTTGGAGAAATAAATCATAGTTTAGGTCAATAACTTTTCATTCTATGATGCCCGGTGCACAATTCTATATATAGCATTCTATGTACAGTTTTGTGCCAACCGATGATGCACTAATTTTTCAATAAGTGAATTTTTTTTTCGCTGAGCGAGGTAAATGTAATCAAAATTCCTTGTTGTCAATCAGTTTTTTTGTTAACTGGAACCTTTGCCAACTGAGGTTCTACTGTAAATGCATTTCTAAGGGTGTCCCTAATTACCCTGGGGGGCGGGGTGTCCCGAGTAGCCCCGCCGTGTGAAAATGGCTGCCATTTTTTTTTTGGAATGAGATAGGCAAATTCCGTCAATTACGTTTTCAAGCTGACACCTGGGTGCAACTTTTACGTAAGTAAAATTTTTTAATACGGCGAATATTTTTTTTTTGCTCTAGATCTTAGCAGAGGTACTTTTCCAAACTCGCACATTTCACACTTTTTTCAATGATTTTTTAGAGATAGTAAATGTTTGATTTCTTGACTAGCTTTATAGGTAGGTACGTACATAATAAATAGGTAGTAAAAATGTTGAAGTTTATGCCACTATTTTAAGTTTTGCAGTATTTTGATTAGTTTAGCTGCTACAACATTTCTACAAAATGTGGGACGTGCATCCCTATTTACCCCACCCATCCCTTTTTACTCCGTTTGATGGTATGCATTATTCATGTGTTCAGTTCCTCTTAAGTTAGTTACGTAAGTAAAGATAAGACAGTTGCCTCTTGTTGCTGTTTCTAGGGTACAATTACTGAATTAGAGATTTGTGGTAACATGTGCACAGGGCTTTGTAAATTAGATTGCAGCTCATAACTGGGTCTTTGTGGCCAGGAAATGGAATTCAAAGCTCCCAAAAATGGAATCACGGTTTGCAAATCAATAAATCACAGCTCAAAAAATCCAGTTGTGGTTCAAAGAGTAGATGATTTCTCACTATTACTACATCAAACAAGGAGCCTGAAAACAGCATCAAACTACATGCCTGAAAATGAGTGGCAGATGAGGCTTCTTGAATTGGCTCTTTTCACTTAGTAGGTAGTAATTATTGAAATTTATATTTGTAAATAAATTTACCAGTAATGTTTATCATTTTAAATTTATCAGTAATTTTTAAAAAATTGTCGTGTTAAAGAATTTTGCTTGAAAAAGGTTGCAGACAGGTGTTGGCTTTAAAACTTCATTGACAGAATTTTTGTGCCTTGATTCAAAACAAAATGGTGGCCATTTCCACATGACGGGGCAATAAGTGACATCCCCTCCAGGGTAATAAGGACACATCAAAAAATGCAAAAAAAAATCTATTAACAACAAAGAATATTGATAACATTTACCTTACTATGCAAAAAAATTCACTCAACAAGAAATTAGTGCATCATTGGTCATCACAAAATTGTGCATAGAATGTCACAGATAGAATTGGGCATGGGGGCAAAATAGATGTAAAGGAATTAACCTAAACTATGATTTATTTCTCCAAAAAAATATAATGCTTGTTACTAAAATGTTCCTTTTTGTTTCAGGTAGGTATGTTTTTATGATTTTTTTATTTTTTGTTATAGTGAATTAATATACTGTACACAATTAAAATGGTGCAAAAAAATTGGCACAGTCCAGCTAAATTACCTGGAAGGCTATGCTGAGCAACAATTGTTATTAATAAATTTTTATAGGTACTAGGTATATTATTTTAGCTACATTATTTTTTAAAATACCCTATTGAACAATTTGTGTAATTTTAATTTCAGGAGTCAATTATGAAGCTGTGTTGGGCATGAGACTACACAGAGCAACAATTAATATTATCTCTATTATTTCGTGAATTATTATTTATATTGACGGTATTATTTATATTTACGTAGCCCCGGTTGACGGTACCGTAGCATTCTATGTGCAATTTTGTGACAACCGATGATGCACTAATTTTTTTATAAGTGTATTTTTTTCACTGAGCAAGGTAAATGTAATAAAAATTCTTTGTTGTTAATAAATTTTTTTGTTAACTGGAGCCTTTGCTAACTGAGGTTCTACTGTAAATGCATTTTTAAGGGTGTCCCTAATTACCCCGGTTGGCCTCCCTTTTTACCCCAATGGCTGCTATTTTATTTTTTTTTTTAATGAGCTAGGCAAATTCTGTCAATTATGTTTTCAAGCCAACACCTGGGTGCAACTTTTATGTAAGTAAAATTTTTTAACACGGCGAATATTTTTTTTGCTCCAGACCTTAGCAGAGGTACTTTACCAAAATTGCACTTTTCACACTTTTTTCAGTGATTTTTTAGAAATAGTAAATATTTGATTTCTTGACTAGCTTTATACATAATGTATAGTAAAAATGTTGAAGTTTACGCCACTATTTTTAGTTTTGCAATATTTTGATTAGTTTAGCTGCTACATTTCTACGAAATGTGGGACGCGTGTCCCAATTTACCCCGCCCGTCCCTTTTTACCCCGTTTGACAATACTTATTATGTAAGGAGTGATGTTCAGATCTAATAAGAACATGGATTGTCCAATGTATTTAATTGAAACTTCTATGATAAGTCAATCAGTTAGATGTGTTTTTACTTACTCTATTGAAATTTCTACTCAAATAATTTTGTCTATAGCAATTTGGTTGCTTGAAAAACTGAACCTGAATACTATTTTCATAGGTTTTCTGACAGGACCACTAGCTGAATACAATCCATGTCCAAACAAACATGCAAAGACAAAGTTAAATATTTACACGTTTGTCATGAGGTTAATTTTAAAAACATAATTCTCAGCATATATTTTTAATCTTCTGATTTGTTTTTAAATTCATAACTATTAAATTGTAACTATCAAAAAATGCCATATATATATATATCCACAATAATTCTAAATTATCTATTTAAAATGTATGCAGCTGGTGCTGCACTACGGTGCCTTGGCTATATATATAGGTATTATTTAAATGTATTTCAAGAACTCTTTTTTTGAAACATTTAATGTAGCTGCTTGCATGTTCATGTTATAGGAGATGGCAAGATGGCAACTGCTGCTTGCAGAGTGACATTGCCTGTGGAAGAAGCTACAACAAATGCAGTACACCAAAACAATTTATGTGTGTTTTTTATGCTTTATGATTAGGGCAATGAAAAGAGTAATCTTTACTAGACTCAATAGAGATGTTATTCATTAAAATATTGAATCTTGAAACATAGTAATTCTGTGAGAATGTTCAAGATCTCTTATGGAATCCGTGCAACTGCTTTCCTGTCTAATTCCATGAGACTTTTATCTATAGAACCAGTATGTTATTATTATTAGGGTAAACGCGGTATATTCCGACACATTAAGGATGCATCGAGAAATGAAAAACTATAAAAAATAACTGTATGCGTTACTCGAGTTCTGTTTGCTTTACGTGACTCTCACAACACTGCACTATGCGCCAGCAAAGATGAAACGTCACAAAGTGTTGCCATATTTATTTAAAAGCCTTCAGAATGCAAACTTACCAAATCCCTATATTCCGACGCTGTGTGTGACTAAATTTGGCACGTTGTGAGACGAATTCCGGCCGCGCTTCAAACTCTACTAATACGTAATTCCGACATCTTTGTGTTCAAATTCCGATCGCTGTGTGAGCTGTATTGGAATACGACACGGCTTCGAATTAGAACACTATTGAATATTGAACACTACTTAATTAGTCTTTTAATTAACAGCTATTAAGCTTTTAATTAAGAAAATTTTAATTTTTGCACAATGCACACAGTTTGGAATGAGCTGTGTGTGTCCAATTCATGTTATGACGGAATTAGTTTTTATGTGTCTAAATCCGTTTCTTAACTTAATCATCTATTAATTTATTTACC